TCTCCTTCACTCTTATTCTGTTTCCTACCACTCAAAGATTATAAAAGCAGACCCTAAAACAAACAGTCCTTACCACAGGATCAATATCTGGATAGCTCCAACAGGTTATATTAAATGATTAACTTCCAGGCCAGGTGCAGTGGCTCACACCTGTAATCCCAGCACTTTGGGAGGCTGAGGCAGGCGAATCACTTGAGGTCAGGAGTTCAAGACCAGCCTGGCCAACATGGCGAAACCCTGAGTTAACCAGGCATAGTGGCAGACACCTGTAATCTCAGCTATTCAGGAGGCTGAGGCAGGAGAACTGCTTGAACCATGGAGGCAGAAGTTGCAGTGAGCTGATATTGTGCCACTGCACTCTAGCTGAGCAAGAGTGAAACTGTCTCAAATAATAATAATAATAACTGTAGTCTCAGCTACTCAGGAAGCTGAGGCAGGAGAGTCACTTGAACTCCAGGAGGCAGAGGCTGCCATGAGTCAAGATCGTGCCACTGCACTCCAGCCTGGGCAACAGAGCAAGTCTCTGTCTCAAAAACAAACAAACAAAAAATAGATTAACTTCCAAATCCTCCAACAAGTAATTGCAATATAAGAATATTCTTGAAAACATAAGAAGTCCTTAGTACGAAAAATATTGAGGAAGTGTTTAGACTTTCTCTAATGAGGTTTTATAGGAAGCAAGTGGCCTATAACATGGGTCTTCAGGATCATATAACCTTCAGAAGGTTGTCAAATTAGCTTGCTGCCTCAAACTAGTATCTTCCCCATTCCACTGACACTAGACATATTCTCCTGATTTTAGCAATTAAAGTTCTCTGTCCCTTCTGCACATTCCCAAAGATTGATTTTGCATACAATGGGTAATTTTTTTTTTTTTTGAGACAGGGTCATCTCTGATACCCAGGCTATGGTGCAGTGGCATGGTCATGAATCACTGCAGCTTTGACCTCCTGGGCTTACTTGATCCTCCCACTTTGGCCTCCCAAAATGCTGCCATTACAAGTATGAGCCACTATGGCCATCCAGTTGCTTGTTTAGGAGAACAAGGAGGTTGGCCTTGGTCTAAGTAAATTATATTGTTTCTAGCCCAGCCTTCATAGATAATTTCTGATGGGTCTCTGTCATTTGAAATAGGAGATGCTGGACTTATATAGCTGACCCCTCCCCAGGGTACCTGCTAAATTCCTATTGCCTATCCCTTTGTTGGTTCTATTTCATCATTATCTATAGGTGGAATATAGACATCTTTTTCAGTGTAAAAAAAAAATCAGAAAAACCACTACTGTAGTCCCCCATTATCCACAGTTTTGCTTTCTGTTATTTCATCTACTGTAGCCAACTATGGTCTAAAAATACTAAGGTATTTTGAGAGAGATCACATTCACATAAATTTTATTACAGTATGTTGTTATACTTGTTCTATTTTATTATTACTTATTGTTAATCTTTTACTGTGCCTAATTTATAAATTAAACTTTACCATAGATACATGTGTATAGGAAAAAAATATGGCATCTATAGGGTTTGGTGCTGTCTGCAGTTGCAGATTTTCACTGGAGATGTTGGAATGTATCCCCAGCAGATAAAGAGGGACTGCTCGATTTAGAACATTCTAACTATTGTTATTTTTCCTTTTCCTAATCTTGGTTCTTAATCACTAGCTGAACTGTGTATATTACAGTCAGATCTTTCTATCTGCATGCCCTCTGTCATAGGCCATTCTTGATTCTGTCTGACCGTCTATGTGTTGTTGAATACTTCACAAAGGAGAACTATTTATAATAATAGCAAACATCTACTGAGCATTTGCTTTGTGTACTGTTCTAAGAACTTTACAAATATCACTGATCTTGTTTCATATGCATAATAATTTCAGGTACTATTATTACCCCTGTTTTATAGATGAGAAAATAGAGGCACAGGAGGATCATTTAATCTGTGAAAATTATCAATGATACTTCTGTGAGAAGCAAAGATAAAATTATGTCAAAGAGCTTTGTAATAAGAAAATGAAGTACAAACACTGTACTGTTATCCGCTTCATAACAAGGCTCAATGAATGTTTGTTGAATGAATGAATGAATGAATGAGTAAATATCATTACTGGGATGTACTGTGTTTTGTGTAGGTAGAGTTCTCAGAATAATGTAAAGTGTAAATATGCCAAGCACTGTGTCTGTAACTCAGTAGTTACCCCACCAACATATTACTAGTTTCCTTCTTCTTCCCTTTTCCTCTAATTTCACAATCAAAATGACTGTCTGATTGAATATCTTTAAAAGGTCATGATGAATTATTCTGTAATATTTGAAATGTTATGTTCAGAAAGGTCAAACCTTATTTTTCAGTATGAAGTGTCACACAGATTTGTTTTTCCTGGGCACTTTTCTTTTTTCAAAGAAAAGATGGCAAGAAATTTAGAGCAGGGTGCCCTCTTGAGGAAATTTTAGCATCTTCCTTCTTAAAAACTGACATAGAATGAAATGAGAAGTCCAGATAAATGATGTACACTATTAATGAAGCTCAGAAAAATGAAACATTAAAAACTAAGAATAACCAAATACCAGGTATTTGAGAACTAGGATTCTTAACTGTTATGATCTAATATAGTGACTGTAAATAAGAATTTTTATTATTTATTATTACTTTTATTTGTCTTTATTTTGTTTTTGTTTTTGTTTTTTGAGACAGAGTCTCACTCTGTCACCCAGGCTAGAGTGCAGTGGTGCAATCTCGGCTTACTGCAACCCCCACTTCCCAGGTTCAAGCAATTCTCATGCCTCAGCCTCCTGCATAGCTGGGACCAAAGGCTTGCACCACCATGCCCAACTAATTTTTTTTTTTTTTGTATTTTTAGTAGAGATAGGGTTTTGCCATTTTGGCCAGCCTGGTCTCAAACTTCTTATTACAAATCCTTGTAAATAAGAATTTTTTAATGAAAACAAAAACCTCTAGAAGACATTTTATTTCTTCTTATTCACTCATTTCTTCAAGTAATATTTATTAGACACCTACTCTGTGTCAGGAACTATGCTAAGCACAGGGATCAATAAAATTTGGTCTCTGCCTTCATGGAGCTTACCCTTTGTGAGGGAGATCACACTGAAGAGAAACAAATATATATGTAATTACAAACTGAGAAAAGTACTGTGAAGGAAATGAATAGGTACTAGAATAAAGAATAACAAAGTAAGTTCTATTTGGGGTCTTTAAGGGAAGCCTCTCAGAGGAATTATCCAGCAGAGTCCGTTAGCTTTTCCACCTATTCCAAGTCTTCCTGTCTAATATAGACCATCTACAGATCCTCTTCCCTAGCCATGGTCTTTCTTATCTCCTCTTATTTCTGTCCCAGTGGCAGACTTAGTCAATCCTATCTCTGCTTCTGTGGGCAAGCAGTTAGGTCTCATTCGTCCTTCTTCACCTTATTGTCACTCTAGTAATCCCCTTTGCCGTACAGCAGGGATGTCCAATCTTTTGGTTTCCCTGGGCCACATTGGAAAAAGAAGAATTGTCTTGGGCCACAGATAAAATACACTAGTACTAATAATAACTGATGAGCTAAAAAAGAAAATTGCAAAAAAAAAATCTCATAATGTTTTAAGAAAGTTTATGAATTTTACTGGGCTACATTCAAAGCCTCCCTGGCCCGCATGTAGCCCGGGTGCCTTGCGTTAGACAAGCTTGCCATAGAGCCTCACATTCTTCATAGTGGGTCATCTGCTTGATTACAGAATATCTTCCTTACTAATATAGATAGTCCCTCATAGGAGAACATCAATGCATTATCATGCTAAAAGGGCCCACGTCTAACAAGGTTAAGGATGACAAATGGACAAATAATTCTGTCTACCATTATCCTCTGAATAGGAGGAGATAAATAGGCATGAAGTAGGCCAAGAACTTGATCATGCAATACTGTTTGGTCACATTGACCTTGAAATATCTGAGATATCAAGCACATAGATGCCTCCAACTGGAAGTAAAAATGAGAAATTAAATCTGAGAAAAGAGCCCAGAAGAACAATATTTAGAGTCTTATTTTGTTCAAAGCGCCCATGTTACACAGACTTACTATGTAATGTTTGGCCTGATTCCTTAACACTCTTGCTGTGGCCCTCGTTATTTCTTGAGGTAGGCTGATTCTACCAGACTGGAGGATTTAACTGACATGGAGAGTATTGCCTGCAAGTAGATGGGCCTACCATGACTTCTGAGTTGGCATTTAGGTGACCATTTGAGTCTGGGACCCAAACTTTGAATAAGCTGCCTTAACCTTAGTTGTACCCATAAATAGCTCTCTTTAAAATAACTAGGCGGCCGGTTAGCTCAGTTGGTTAGAGCGTGGTGCTGATAAAATAACTAATCATACCTTCCTTATTAACTAGAGGGCCCTAAATGAAACATTTAATTTCTTTGAATTTCAGTTTCCTCACTTGTAAATTGGGATTTAACATATCTGCTTATTTTACATTATTACACTTTGAGTATAAATAATAGGTACTATATTGGTCAGAATGTGCCAAAAGTAGTACACCTAAACATTGCTGCTGTTAGGTAGCATTTTGGAAAATACACCAAACACAGTAAAATATACAAACTTCTTTGACCCAACAATTTGGTTCCTGACCATTTAGTCTTATGAAAAAATTAAGAAAAAAAATTTTTATAACAAGTACATCAAAGCATTTTCTACAAAAGAAAATATTAGAAACATTCTAAATATCTAACAATAAGAGACTGTCTAAATAAAACATGTTGATTTTATTTGCAGTAAACTATTAACCAACCACTGTGTAAATTATTTTCATGTAGAACGTTCTTGGAAAGAAACATGAAAAATGAAAAAATAAAATAATTGATATCTCAGTATAGTGGAATTATAAATATATTTCTTTATCAATTTCTCTGAATGTTATTACTCTAGGAAAATAATTAACATACTTAAAAATTTTTTTGACCCCAAAGTAAATTTTTTTAATCATCTCTTGTTTTTTATTTAGGGAAATTATCGTTTCATGAAACTCTTACTTACACGCAGAGCAAACTGGATGCAAAAGGATCTAGAAGAGATGACTCCTTTGCACCTGACCACTAGGCACAAGAGCCCTAAGTGTTTGGCACTTCTGCTGAAGTTTATGGCACCTGGAGAAGTGGATACACAGGATAAAAACAAGGTAATGGATAGTCAAAATCAAGGACTAATAAGACCAGAAAGCAAATGTTTCCTTTTATGATGTGAAATTTCAAGAATGAAGACCTAAATTACCACCTATATACATGGTAGAACGATTCCAAATCTCCATACATTCCCAGGGAAGTATTTCACTTAAATTCTGTCATTTTATCCTCTCGGCAACCATGTGTGTTAGGTAGTATCATCTGCTTTAGACAGATGGAAAAACTGAAGCTCAGGAAGATTAACATTTTGCCCAAGATGCAAGTGGCAGAACTAGAATTCAAATCCACTTCTGTCAGCCAGGCAAGGTGGCTCATACCTGTAATCCCAGCACTTTGGGAGGCGGTAGTGGGCAAATCACCTGAGGTCAGGAGTTCAAGACCAGCCTGGCCAACATGGTGAAACCCATCTCTACAAAAACTACAGAAATTAGCCAGGTGTGGTGGCATGCACCTGTAATCCCAGCTACTCGAGAGGCTGAGGCAGAAGAATCACTTGAACCCGGGAGGCAGAGTTTGCAGTGAGCTGAGATCATGCCACTGCACTCCAGCCTGGGTGACAAAAAAAAAAAAAAAAAAAAAAATTCAGTCCTCTCTAACTCCAAAACCCAATATTTGACAGAGTCATAATAGTTGCTATAGGAGGTTAGACTCATGATGGCCAAATGCCCATGCAATGTCCTAAGTACATAGTAGTTTAGTAGCCTGGGCTTTGGTATCAGACCTTTCAGTATCATTCTTCCAGAATCCACTACTTGTTCTGTGTCCTTGCACAAATTGCTTGACTCCTCTGTGCCTCAGTTTTTATATGTATGAAAAAAGGATAATATGATTACTGAAGATAAAATGAGATGATACATATAATTTGCTTAGTACAAATTCCATAGTATCCTCTCAATAAATGTTAGCTATGAAATAATTATTAGTTTTATTTCAGGTCTAACATCTGCTCTGTCATTTGTTACTAAGAATCATTATCTTCCTAGCCCTTAAATTGTAATGTATTATACACACTAATCGTTGTTCTGCTTGATGCTCTGATGATTCTTTACAAGGAAAAAAATTTGGTATTTAGTTAGACAAGTGCAGTAATCCTCTTCTTTCCACCATGTACTTAGTCACAGAGTCTTGCTAACTCCGGTGCTCCTATATAATTACAACTTTTTTTTTGGAGATAGAGTCTTGTTCTGTCACCCAGGCTAGAGTGCAGTGGCGTGATCTTGGCTCACTGTAACCTCCTCCTCCCAGGTTCAAGTGATTCTCCTGCCTCAGCCTCCTGAGTAGCTAGGATTACAAGCACTTGCCAGCTCACCTGGCTAATTCTTGTATTTTGTAGAGATGGGATTTCACCATCTTGGCCAGGTTGGTCTCAAACACCAGACCTTGTGATCTACCTGCCTCAGCTTCCCAAAATGCTGGGATTACAGGCGTGAGCCACTGCGCCCAGCCTATAATTAAAACTCTTATGAACAAATCCCCTCTGTTTATGTTCAATAATTCTTTCATATTTATATTATTCTTTATGTAGTTTTCACATTTTCCTTAGTAGTCACCCAGAGTTCTGAGACCAACTTTAACTTTACAACTCCGGTATGTTAACATTGTTCCTAATTCACAACATTTGTAGTGTTAATACTTTACTGAAAAAAAGCACTTTGATCCACAAAGATCGATTAATCACTTAAGAAGCTATAAATACCTTCAGGCTTTATAACGTATTCTCCAATATATTCTAGAAACTTCCTGCTTGCTGTTCTCTGATATCGGAACTTTCTTCTGTTGTTGAACAGAGAGGGAAGAGTATCTAGTAAGACAGATAAAAAACAGATCTGCATGGTCCAGACGGGCACAGAGAAAACAAGACAAAAGGCAGGAGCAGTATTATAATTTTATATATGCAATGCTTATTTATTTTTACTTGCATGTTAACTAATTTCTTTGCTCTGCATTTTTTGTATCTAAATTTTCCTTCTAAAGTTATTATTTTACATCCTGAATATAGTTCTTAGACTCTCTCTCTCTTTTTTTTTATATACTATAAGTTGTGGGATACATGTGCAAAACATGCAGGTTTGTTACATGGGTATACATGTGCCATGGTGGTTTGCTGCACCCATAAACCTGTCATCTACATTAGGTATTTCTCCTAATACTATCCCTCCCCTTGCCTCCCTCCCCTCAACAGGCCCTGGTGTGTGATGTTCCCCTCCCTGTGTTCATGTGATCATTTTTAACTTTTATCTGAAATAAAATATTAACATTGTTAAAATCAAAATGGAGTTGTTTTTGTTTCAAACAACAAAAACAAAAACTGAGCTAGAGAAGGCCATGACTCATGCTTGTTAGCCTGATTAAAAAAAAAGAAAAATCACAGACTGTGCAAAAGCCACAAGCTTTCACAAAGGCCATTATAACCTTACAAAAAAATTGCTTCTTCAAAGACATTTGCCCAGCAACTGCCTGACCAGCCTTGCACTGGCATTATCTTTGTTATTGATCTTTGTAGCCAAGGATAATCATTTTAAAAGAATTGTGTAATCCTCTTCATTTTTCTTTTAAAAACTTTTATCTTCCTTTACTTGAGTACACATAGTTTACCTTGACACACATATTCCTATTGCAATGCCCTATTCCCAGATACCAAACAAACATTATTTTCTTTCTTTCTTTCTTTTTTTGAGACAGAGCAGTGGTATGATCTCAGCTCACTGAAACCTCCACTTCCTGGGTTCAAGCAAGTCTCATGCTTTGGCCTCCCAAGTATCTGGGATTACAGGCATGTGCCACCACGCCCAACTAATTTTTGTATTTTTAGTAGAGATGGGGTTTCACCATGTTGCCCAGGCTGATCTCGAACTCCTGACCTCAAGTGATCCACCCGCGTCGGTCTCCCAAAGTGCTGGGATTATAGGCATGAACCACAGTGTCTAGCCAAACATTATTTTCTTTTAGAGAGACTCTCTGTTGTTTAGGTTGACAAAAGCAGGTGCTGCTATCTTTTCAAAATATATCTTTTTGTCAATAACTGGGTTTAATAATTTATCCTGTAAAATTATAGCTAAATTGCTAAATTAAAATTTATCTTCTGATATATGGAATGAGTTCCAGATGCATTAATTTCCTATGCATGGATTTTTTTTATGGATATTAAAATTCAAAACATCCTATCAAGTTCTTAAGGTACTTGGTGATAACCAAGTGTACATTATCAAGATCATCACCTACTTTATTGATGATTATTCATAAATAACTGGGCCGCTTTCTCTTTCTCAGTGTTATCAGTACCAGATGAACTAAATAACTGTCATGACTAAGAGGTCAGATTCTAGAATCAGACTGCCTGGGTTAAAATCTCAGTTCAGCCACTTATGTCCCTGAGTGGATTATTTAAGTTCCATGTGCTATTATTTCCTCAGAAATCACATGCAAATTTTAAAACATACTCGTCTCCCAGAGATAGTAAGATGACTATGTGCAATTAAATAGACAATAGTCTCCTTTATTCAAAGGAAATATATTCCAACACCCCCAGTGGATACTTGAAACTGCTGATAGTGCCAAACCCAATTCCCATCAATAGGAAGACATTTGTGTCCATGTCTCCTACCCACAAATTTAGTGCTTTTTCCATCTTAACTAAGCACTTATCAGGTACTGTGGCCATAATTTTTGCAGTTGATGTGCAACAGCAAAACCAGCATGAATTTATTCTTCCTTCTTCACAGTTTCGCAGATAGATTTGTTTTTGTCATAGATCTTAACAAACTCAACAAACAATTTTATCTTTTTAAGTTGAGAGTTTTCACCTTTTCACTTAGAGGAAACACTTTATAGCTGCTCTTTGGCATGTCTGAATCACCAGTATCAATAATTTTGAGCTTTGGGGCCATTAAGTAGGAGAATGATGACTTAAACACAAGCACTGTGATTCTAATATCGTGACAATGGATGGGATAACTGAGTTGGCTGCTAAGTGGCAGGGAGTGTCTGCAGTGGGGATATGCTGAACAAAGGAAGGATTTGTGTCCTAGGTAGGATAGCTTGGGATGAAGCACTATTTCATCATGCTACTCAGAATGGCACATCATTTAAAACTTATGAATTGTTTATTTCTGGAATGTTCCATTTAATATTTTTAGACTTCAGTTGAACACAGGGACCTGAAACCATGAAAAGTGAAACAAAGGATAAGGGGGATGTACTGTATAACATTCTTATAACAGTGCCTGTCCCACAATAAAATCTTGGGGAAAGTTAGTTGTTGTTCTTACTGTTGTTATTTGAAAAACCTCTCAATTTTGCAGCAAACAGCTCTTCATTGGAGTGCCTACTACAATAACCCTGAGCACGTGAAGCTGCTCATCAAGCATGATTCTAACATTGGGATTCCTGATGTTGAAGGCAAGATCCCACTTCACTGGGCAGCCAACCATAAAGATCCAAGTGCTGTTCATACAGTCAGATGCATTCTGGTGAGTTGAATGGTACTGCTAGAACTGAATGGCTTTTTTAAGAAATGTTTTTATTATGCATTAATCAATATATACAAAAGCATACATATGACATACAAGCAAATTATTAAGCAAAAGAATACAACAGACATGTGGACCCATCCCCCAAGAAATAGAACATTTTAATACCACTATTTAAGACCACATAGAGTCCCATTTTTTTTTTTTTTAGACAGAGTTTCACTCTTGTTACCCGGGCTGGAGTGCAATGGTGCGATCTCCACTCACTGCAACCTCTGCCTCCTAGGTTCAAGCAGTTCTCCTGCCTCAGCCACCCGAGTAGCTGAGACTACAGGCTGCACCGCCATGCCCAGCTAATTTTTGTATTTTTAGTAGAGGCGGGGTTTCACCATGTTGACCAGGATGGTCTTGATCCCTTGGCCTGATGATCCACCTGCCTTGGCCTCCCAAAGTGCTGGGATTACAGGTGTGAGCCACCACGCCCCTCCCCAAGTCCCAGTTTTTAGATGCATTCATTTCCCCTATGCCATGCTCATTGCTGTACCCCAGCAACTACTTCCCTAAATTTATTTACTTACTTTGTTTCATACTTGTTTTTGTTAAACAGTGAATAGATATAATTATCATTAAAATACGTGTAAAATATAAATAATAATGAAACAACAAATACTCATGCACTCACTATCGAGTTTAAGAAAAAGTATATTACCATTACGTTTGAAGTCCTCTGAGTGGAGTACCTCCCAGTCTCATTCTTTTCTCTCCTTTCACAGAGGCAACAACTGTCTTTAGTCTTGTGTTTATCATTCCACTGATTTTCATTACCACATTTATTTGTATCCCTAAACAATGTATTGCTCGTTTTTAATGTTTTTAAGTTAATATACAAGGAATTATATTGCATGGTTGTTTGGCTTTTTTTGCAATACCTTTTTCTCCCTCAACCTTATGCTGGTGATTTTTTTTTTTTTTTTGAGTTGGAGTCTCACTCTGTTGCCAGGCTGGAGTGGGTTTAAGTGATTCTCTTGCCTCAGCCTCCCAAGTATCTGTGACTACGGGCTTCCCAAAATGCTGAGATTAGAGGTGTGAGCCACTGCACCCAGCCGCTGGTGATTTTATCTATGTTGCTCTGGGTAGCTATGATGTATTAATTCTTACTGCTATATAGGATTCCATCTTATAAATAAGCCACACTTTATTCATTCTGTTACTGACAGATACTTTGACTGTTTCCAGTTTTTGGTTATTTACAAACAGTGCTGCATTGACATTTTTTAACATATCTAGGATATATATTTAACTGGTTGTTATGGGTGTATAGGAATTCAATTGACCTTTTTGTTTATTGATTATATATCTAACCAATTCGCTAAATTCCTTATTTATTTTGAATATTTATCAGTAGATTCTTTGAGGTTTTCTAATCACTCTGTCCCAGCTTCTAACTTACATGCTATGATAGTCCAATAGCTAGTCATATTTGTTTTTAATACACAAATTAAACTTTAAAGTATTATTTTTTCATCCTTTTTACAACCTCTGATACTAAAGTATTATTATTTTGTATATGCAGTGCTTATTTTTACCTGCATGTTAACTAATTTCTTTGCTCTGCATGTTTTTGTATCAAAATTTTCCTTCTAAGGTTATTATTTTATGTCCTGAAATATAGTTCTTAGACTATATATATATACACATATACTGTAAGTTGTGGGATACATGTGCAAAACATGCAGGTTTGTTACATGGGTATACATGTGCCATGGTGGTTTGCTACACCCATAAACCTGTCATCTACATTAAGTATTTCTCCTAATATTATCCCTCCCCTTGCCTCCCACCCTGCAACAGGCCCTGATGTGTGTTGTTCCCCTCCCTGTGTTCCTCCCCTTGCCTCCCACCCTGCAACAGGCCCTGATGTGTGTTGTTCCCCTCCCTGTGTTCATGTGCTCTCATTGTTCAACATCCACTTATGAGTGAGAACATGCAATGTTTGGTTTTCTCTTCCTGTGTTAGTTTGCTGAGAATGATGGTTTCCAGCTTCATCCATGTCCCTGCAAAAAAAACGTGAACTCATCCATTTATGGCTGCATAGTATTCTGTGGTGTCTGTGTGCCACATTTTTTTGTCTAGTCTATCATTGATGGGCATTTGGGTTGGTTCCAAGTCTTTGCTATTGTAAATAGTGCTGCAATAAACATACATGTTTATGTGTCTTTATAGTAGAATGATTTATAATTCTTTGGGTATATATCCAATAATGGGATTGCTGGGTCAAATGGTATTTCTGATTCTAGATCCTTGAGGAATCACCACACTGTCTTCCATAATGGTTCAACTAATTTACACTCCCACCAGCAGTATAAAAGTGTTCCTATTTCTCCACATCCTTTCCAGCATTTGTTGTTTCCTGACTTTTTAATGATTGCCATTCTGACTGGCATGAGATGGTGTCTCATTGTGATTTTGATTTGCATTTCTCTAATGATCAGTGACAATGAGCTTTTTTCATGTTTGTTGGCTGCATAAATGTCTTCTTTTGAGAAGTGTCTGTTCATATCCTTTGTTCACTTTTTGATGGGATTGTTTCTTTTTTTCTTGTACATTTATTTAAGTTCCTTGTAGATTCCAGATACAAGCCCTTTGTTGGATAGATTGCAAAAATTTTTTCCCATTCTGTAGGTTGCCTGTTCACTCTGATATAGTTTCTTTTGCTATGCAGAAACTCTTTAGTTTAATTAGATTCCATGTGTCTGTTTTGGCTTTTGTTGCCATTGCTTTTGATGTTTTAGTCATGAAGTCTTTGCCCATGCCTATGTCCTCAGTGGTATTGCCTAGGTTTTCTAGCATTTTTGTGGTTTTAGGTCTTATATTTAAATCTTTAATCCATCTTGAGTTAGTTTTTGTATAAGGTGTAAGGAAGGGGTTAAGTTTCAGTTTTCTGCACAAGGCTAGCCAGTTTTCCCACCACCATTTATTTATTTATTTTTATTATACTCTAAGTTCTGGAGTAAATGTGCAGATCTCACAGGCTTGCCACATAGGTATACACATGCCATGGTGGTTGTTTGCTGCATCCATTGCCCCATCATCTACATTAGGTATTTTGCCTAATGCTATACCTCCCCAATACCCCAAACCCCTGCTATTCCTCTGCTAGCCCCCCACCCCCCAGGCCCTGGTGGGTGATGTTCCCCTCCCTGTGTCCATGTGTTCTCATTGTTCAACTCCCACTTATGAGTGAGAACATGTGGTGTTTGGTTTTCTATTCTTGTGTCACTTTGCCGAGAATGGTTTCCAATTTCATCCATGTCCTGCAAAGGACACGAACTCATCCTTTTTTACGGCTGCATCGTATTCCATGGTGCATATGTACCACATTTTCTTTATTCATTCTATCGTCGATGGGCATTTGGATTGGTTCCAAGTCTTTGCTCTTGTGAACAGTGCTGCAATAAACATACGCGTGCATGTGTCTTTATAATAGAATGATTTATGATCCTTTGGGTATCCAGTAATGGGATTGCTAGGTCAAAAGGTATTTCTGTTTCTAGATCTTTGAAGAATCACCACATTGTCTTCCACAATGGTTGAATTAATTTACACTCCCACTAACAGTGTAGAAGTGTTCCTTTTTCTCCACATCCTCTTCAGCATCTGTTGTCTACTGATTTTTAATGATCACCATTCTAACTGACATGAGGTGGTATGACCAGTGATGATTAGCTTTTTTTCATATGTTTGTTGTCTGCATAAATGTCTGCTTTTGAAAAGTGTCTGTTCATATCCTTTACCCATTTTTTGATGGGGCTGCTGTTGTTGTTGTTGTTGTATGAGATGGAGTCTCACCCTGCTGCCCAGGCTGGAGTGCAATGGCACAATCTTGGCTCACTGCAACCTCCACTTCCTGGTTCAAATGATTCTCCTGCCTCAGCCTCCTGGGTAACTGGGATTACAGGCACCCACCACCATACTCAGCTAATTTTTTTGTATTTTTAGTAGAGATGGAGTTTCATCATGTTGGTTGGCCAGGTGATCCATCCTCCTCAGCCTCTGAAAGTGCTGGGATTACAGACGTGAGCCACTGCGCCTGGCCGGGGTTGTTTTTTTCTTACAAATTTGTTTAAGTTCTTCGTAGATTCTGGATATTAGCCCTTTGTCAGATGGGTAGATTGCAAAATTTTTTTCCCATTCTGTTGGTTGCCAGTTCACTTAACTGATGGTTTCATTTGCTGTGCAGAAACTCTTAAGTTTGTCTACTTTGGCTTTTGTTGCCATTGCTTTTGGTGTTTTAGTCATGAAGTCCTTGCCCATGCCTATTTCCTGAATGGTATTGCCTAGGTTTTCCTCTGGAGTTTTTATGGTGTTAGGCCTCATGTTTAAATCTTTAATTCATCTAGAGTTATTTTTTGTATAAGGTGTAAGGAAGGAATCCAGGTTGAACTTTCTACATATGGCTAGCCAGTTTTTTCAACACCATTTATTAGATAGGGAATCCTTTCCCCATTGCTTGTTTTTTGTCAGATTTGTCAAAATCAGATGGTTGTAGTTGTATGGCATTCTTTTTGAGGCCTCTATTCTGTTCCATTAGTCTTCTCTGTTTTGGTACCAGTACTGTGCTGTTTTGATTACAGTAGCCTTGTAATATAGTTTGAAGTCAGGTAGTGTGATGCCTCCAGCTTGGTTTTTTGGCTTAGAATTGTCTTGGCTATGTGGACTCTTTTTTGGTTCCATATAAAGTTTGAGGTGGTTTTTTCCAATTCTGTGAAGAAAGTCGTTGGTAGCTTGATGGGGATTGCGTTGAATCTATCAATTACTTTGGGCAGTGTGACCATTTTCATGATACTGATCCTTCCTAACCATGAGCATGGAATGTTTTTCCATCTGTTTGTGTCCTCTCTTATTTCCTTGAGCAGTGGTTTGTCATTCTCCTTGAAGAGGTCCTTCACATCCCTTGTTAGTTGTATACCTAGGTATTTTATTCTCTTTGTAGCAATTGT